CCTCTGTGATGTGCACACCCAGGAACTTGGTGCTGCTCACTCTCTTCACAGTTGCACCATTGACAGTCAGAGGAGCATGCTGAGTGCGCACTCTCCTGAAATCAATAACAATCTCCTTCGTCTTCTCCACATTCCGAGAGAGATTGTTGTCTCTGCACCACCCAGCCAGGCGGCTCACCTCACTCCTGTAGTTTGATTTGGTGCCCCTCCGAATGACCAGATGTCGATTGAGGCATCGGAGAGTGAGCTGAAGGCTGGGGATGAGGACTCGGCTGCGTTGCCCCCTTCGGGGAGAGTAGCATTGCCCGAGCCAGAGAATTGACGGCTATGCTTTCCTGGGCTGCCGAGGCGGTCGGGCTCGAAACAGCCACTATATCCCGAAACGTCGAGGTTAGATGACTGGTATCTCAGGGTGGCCAGGGCTGGTTCTCAGCCCCCCGTGCCAGTGACATTCTTCCCGAAAGTGCATGAGGAGGTGACTAGGTCATGGACGGCACCTTTTTCTGCTCGAAACCGATCTGGTGCCTCCTCCTCCCTCACTACCCTCGATGGCGGGTTGGCCAGGGGATACGCGGTGATCCCCTCTGTGGAGTGCGCGGTTGCGATGCAATTGTGTTCAAGAAGCACTTCCACCTGGAGGGGTAACCCGCTTCTCCAATCTAAGGCCTGTAAGTTCTCGTCTGTTCTTATGGCCAAGGCTTACGGAGCCGCTGGACAGGCTGCCTCCACCCTGCACGCCATGGCACTCCTGCAGGTATACCAGGCCAAGGCACTAAAAGAGTTGCACAAGGGTAGTTCTGACCCAGGGCTGATGCAGGAGCTGCACACAGCGACGGACCTTGCCCTGAGAGTGACGAAAGTCACTGCGCGCTCCCTGGGTCATGATGGTGGTACAGGAACGCCATCTCTGGCTGAACCTGGCGGATATGAGGGAGACCGACAAATACCGTTTTCTCAACTCCCCTATCTCCCAGGCCGGCCTATTCGACGATGCAGTCGAGAGCTTTGCCCAACAGTTCTCGGCTGCCCAGAAGCAGACGGAGGCCCGCTGCTGCTTTCACCTCGCCGCTGGCTGCAGCTGCTCCGCCTGCTCGTCGCCGAGGGCGCCCCCCCACGGCTTCCTCCGCCCCTGCTCAGCCTCAGCAGCATCGTCCACTGAGGCCACAGTGGGGAGCTGGCCGCAGGGGTGCGGCACCGCCCGTCCAGGCCCCTGCCAAACCAGGCAGCAAGCGTAAATGCAAGCGGCCCCGAGACGGGCAACCCAGAGATGGAGGGACAGCTCTTCGGGAGATGGTGACTGCACCACACCCTCCCCCGGAGGAGGGCCGGCTGAGAATATTTTGTTTTCTTTCTGTTCTGCCGCTGGCCTTTCAACGGTACCCAAAAAAAAAAAAGAAAAAAAAAGAGCAGTTCAAGAGGGCGTGGATGATGTTGAGTCACGCTATGCCTGGCCAGCTTCATCCCCCTCTACTATCGCCAGCAGGCAGCAGGGCCCGATTCAAGGAACCTTCTCCCATGCCCCCTGCCCAACCGTGGAGCCAGGTAGGTGTTGCACCGCACACCCAGACCCCACTTTGGGACGCTATGCCTTCCAAGTCGGGTCCCTGTCTTCCACCACACTGCCCCACTGTGGGTACGTCTGTGGTTCCTCTGGTCCCACTTGTACTGTTTCTGGGAGCCTGGCTAGCACTTCCCAGTCCGTCTCGCTGGCTCATTCGGACCATCAGACTCGGCTATGCGATTCAGTTCACCCGGCATCCCCCCAAGTTCAGGAGCATCCAGTTCACTTCCGTGCTGACCAGCGATGCTCCTGTCTTACGGGCAGAAATCGCAGTCCTGCTGGCGAAGGACGCGATAGAGCCGGTCCCTCCAGCCGATATGAGGTAGGGGTTTTACAGACCTTACTTCATTGTACCCAAGAAAGGCGGTGGGTTACAACCAATCTTGGACCTGCGAGTTTTGAACCGGGCCCTTCACTAGCTACTGTTCAAAATGTTGATGCAGAAACGCATTTTCGAATGCATCCGTCCCCGAGATTGGTTTACAGCGAGCGACCTGAAGGATGCGTACTTTCATGTCTCGATTCTCCCTCGGCACAGGCCGTTTCTCTGCTTTGCGTTCGAGTGACAGGCATATCAGTATAAGGTCAACACCAAACACGTTTGCTAGGTTTTATAGCCTTCGTGTAGAGCCAGTGTACTCGCCTCGAGTAGCCAGTGTCTCACTTACTGCGCCATTCCCCTCTACGGACCGGATACGTGCGCTTATTCTGCTCTTCAGTTCAGTTCAGTTCCCCACAAGGCGATCCCTGTGGAGTTCCTCCATCACCCTCGGCAGCCGGACGTGGAAGAGCATCTGGCGCCAGTCCTAACACTTGTAAGTACGCCCGTTGGTTGACCCCTGTGCTAGGCTAGGTGTCCATATGTTGTGATCCCACGGAGATCCCATGTGTGTATTTCTCCACAGTACGGTTCCCCTCTTGGTAAGCCCGTGTCTTTCCCTTGGCAGACTCCGCTCTGCCATCCCTGCCGGTGTTACCTCCCTCCTAACTGAGCCGGAGCCACCTCAGAGACATTCCATGTGTTGTACTGCCCTTAATGCCCAGTCCATATGTGTAATCTCCACATGATACCTCCCTGCGGGCAGGATGTGTATTCCACAGCGTCCCTGGAAAGGGTATGCTTTCCCAGTGTTATCTAACAAGTCTTACTGTATGGGTCTAGTGGAACAACAGTAATAGACTTTCTCCACTTAAGCCCTGTCCTATCTTCCGCCCCAGTTGCCGCAGGGGGACCAGGTGGCTTACTAGAGGTGCTGGAAGGGGCAGCAATAGTGGCGCTTTGTTAGGGATCCCAATTCGTCGGTCACCGACGTGACTCTGAGTGACCGACTGAAAGGGAACGTCTCGGTTATGTATGTAACCCTCGTTCCCTGAAGGAGGGAACGGAGACATCACGTCCCGTCACCCCAGTTGCTGTACCACCGTGGGGCGCCGGGTCACTGGCTAGGCTCCTCAGCGAAAACCTGAATATGTGTTGCACCTGCTGCCTACTTATGCTCGTGTCGTGACGAGCAGCAGCTGGATGCAATTATCGCATGCATAACAGCATTGGCTCGTGTAGTTTACACTCAAAGTAGATTGGTCTCTCGAAACGAGATCCCAAAGAAAGAAAGAAAGAAAGGTTTACACTCGAAGATGATAGGGCTCTCAGGCGAGATCCCAATTCGTCAATCACCGATGTGACGTCTCCTTTCCCTCCTTCAGGGAGCAAGGGTTACATATTGTTGGAAACTCAGAAGCGAAGACCAGGAGACTCTTGGGTATCTTCAGCAGAGTTCTTTATTGAGAACGCGCTGCGTGACATTGCAGTCATCAAAAGCCTAACTAAGGCAGTGATACTTTGTAGTTTATATACATTTAGGGGGCAGTGCTTAGAAATGGAGACAAAGCACCTGGGTGACGACCTTAAACAAAGCATGCAAATGAAGTATTCAGGTATAGCAACCTGCCCCATTTCACCAGTCCTAATCCAATCAGCATAACTACTCAACTCATAACTGGCGCAGAGGCACCAAGAGCCATTGCAAACAAAAGGTGATAGGCTCATTTGACTAAAATGCGCTGCGTGGTGCTGCAGTCATCAAAAGTCTAACTAAGGCAGTGATATATTGTAGTTTATATACATTTAGGGGGCAGTGCTTAGAAATGGAGACAAAGCACCTGGGTGACGACCTTAAACAAAGCATGCAAATGAAGTATTCAGGTATAGCAACCTGCCCCATTTCACCAGTCCTAATCCAATCAGCATAACTACTCAACTCATAACTGGCGCAGAGGCACCAAGAGCCATTGCAAACAAAAGGTGATAGGCTCATTTGACTAACAATAAGAGAACAGGAACTGACAGGAACCTCTTGCTACAAACTCTGCTTTAATAGAATAATTTGTCTGATGTCATCATATTTACCTTCACAATGTACTTCACCTTAGTTTTTCATGTGATGCTGTGTTAGAACATAGGATCAGCATATTTTAAACAGATTCTTAAATTTGTAATCCCACAATATGTAACCAGTTGAAGGTAAGTCACACCAAAGGGCATTTTACAATCTGAATTAACCTTTCTATATCATAAAAAAAAAAAAGTTGAAACAGTCATGAGGGTCTGCAGTGGTCTTCTATATGGTAGCATTGGCTGACAGTCAATAAGCAGAAAACATTCATTCATTCATTCATTCATTTATGATTGTTTGATTGGTTAAAAACAAAAATAATAATAATGGTCTCTTTCCAGGAATTTCATTATTTTAATGAGGACAGGTATAATAAACAGGTTTCTATGAATGATCTCATCTATCATGTTTCTCCCTGCTCTTCCACAGTCATATTATACTGTTTATTAAAATTTTAATTTTGAACCTTCCCTCATTTGTACCCTGCAGATTTGCTCTGACGTTCACTGCATGAGCCATACACAGATCTGAGCTGGCTTGCATAGAGCTCATGAATGTATTCACAGTCAGAGTTGAGTTGGGTTGATCCACACATCATACAGTGATGCTGGTGCAGTCGTGTGCTTGGCCTTTAGAGCATCAGTGGTTCTGAAGGCAGAAGCAAAACCTTTGTGGCTGGGACTGAGGCTCATTACACAACAAAGCAGAGCTCCCTGCTCCCCATCACGAAGAATAAACATGAGCAACAACACTTCAGTTGCCACTCTTATCGGGGCTGATAAAAAGGATGAAAGCTGATTCTATTCCCCATCTCTAGCTCATTCTGGCTCTATCACACGAAGCATACAAACCTCGAAGCAAACTTTTCTTATTTCTGTCAAATGACATTCAATCTCAAAGGTCATATTTCTAATAAAATGTACTTCCATTTTGATTAGAATCTTAATAAAATCTAAAGGAATTCTAATATGTATAATTAAATGCACATTTGTTGAGAAATGATTCTTCGATCTGTTAAATAAAAAACATATATTTCATGAATCTATATATCTTGTATGAAATAACATATCAATCAGATTTTAGTTAAAATCACCAAATTTCCACTATGCTCTTTTAAAATCATTATTGTAAAAGCAATTTTAGCTATTATTGATAAATAACAGTATAATATCTGCTTGCTTGTTGTAGCATTTGGACCAATCAGACACACAATTGTTCATTAGATTTAAAAAATCAATTATTCATTAGATTAACAAACAATCACAGACCCCTCACCCAACACCAGACACGGTGCCTATATGTCTGTGAACTATCTCCAGGCCAGGACACCTCAGCCAGATCAGATAAACTTTACAACCTAAAAGTATGTAGACAGAATCTTACTCCCTAATCAATTCTCTCTAAAACAGACACATACTGCTACAGGAAATGACTTATTTCGTTAATTCATAGACACATTTTTTCTCTGACTTTTCTATCATGCATATCCCCAGGTCTTTGTGTATGATTACTACCGCCTTGTATATGGTCTTATGTATTGTATACTGTTTTATGCATGCTTATGATAAATCACTAGTTAATGTAAACTCACCTATACCATGTTTGGTCTATTTATTCGTCTTCAGATGATCTAATTCAGAGTGTATATTATATGTTTATACCTATGCGACAAATTAGTGTTCTAAGAATCTTTGCATCAACATCCAATCCAGTTACATTATATATATATATATATATATATATATATTAAACATTTAGCGTGAAAATAATTGCATGAAAATAATGTCACAATGCAACACATTTTATTTTATGCAATATAATTTCCTAGTTATTTCTTTAGATTTTGGGACAAAATATGATCACCATTTCATAGAGCCAGAGTTTTTCCAGGTACAGTATCCTGAACCATCTTTATTCTCATCAGAAGAGCTTTATTGAATAAAGAACTTCCATCAATCATATTTTGAAAGAACCGCATGCATCAAACATTCAGAAACAGGAGCAGAATATGGACAGTGTGCATTTTGATTTGGTTCAAGTATAGCATTAGATATGTGCATGATAATATCTAATATTTAGAGCAGAATATGAGCGCTCAGTGTGTGTGTGATGCTTTGATGGTGGTCGAGGGCTGTTTTTCTGAGGCGGCTATATAAATATATAAAATTATTTGTGAATAATTAGCTCTCAAACCAAATACAGTTCCTATGGCACAGACATTTGATGTTATTGATGTTCAACCTTTGCCAGAAGCATCATATTTGATTTAAGAGCTCTAAAATTATTTGGGCTGCATTTATGGTACTTTTATTTTGTCCTTTTTGGAGCTTGACAATCTGTGAACACAATCAATTTGTTATATGGAATAGAGTTGCATGAAGATGTGTTCCACAGAGAAAATAACAGCATTTTTTTT